CTAATGATTCACTAAGTAACCGATGAGCAAAACTACAGTAAACCGCCTAAAATGTTTATAAAGGTCCACTGAAATTTCGCAAAAGAATATTTTCTGGGATTTAATACGATGGTAGGAAAACAGATAAAATGATTATTCTCCAGGATCAATTCCTCTTTGTTTCTAATTTATGGTAATGTTATACCTGAATATATATATATATATATATATATATATATATATATATATATATATATATATATATATATATATGTATATGTATATATATATATATATATATATATATATATATATATATATATATATATATATATATATATATATATATATATATATATATATATATATATATATATATATATATATATTCAGGTATAACATTACCATATATATATATATATATATATATATATATATATATATATATATATATATATATATATATATATATATATATATATATATATATAAATATATATATATATATATATTTTTTTTTACAACAATTTTTATGAAGTATTTGCTTTAATAAATATTTAGTATTACTAGTTTTTAATACAGATAAATATTTAACAATAAACTTTTTATCCAATTTTTATAAGATCCAGAACTTTGAATATTTTGTTGTTATGAGGTTTGACGAAGTTAGTAATTATTCATTAATAAGTGCTTTAACATTTTTTTGAAAAAACCTTTGAATGTTTTATAGAAAGAGTTTAGGTATTTGTTTTTCTCCTAAACATAAAAACATTCTTCAATTTATGTTTAGGAAAAAACTACGGCATTAAACACTAAACTTTGGTTTGAGTGTTTGGAATGGTTTAAAAGCTACCTGTCTAATAGAAAGCAATTTTCCCGCATAATTGCGGAAAAACTTACAATATGAATATAACTTACGGAGTAAGTACAAAGATCTTTAATAGGATACGGTTTTTATTTCTAATATATATCAATGATCTAAGAAAATCTTTTAATGTACAAGACACAATCTTGTTTGCAGGTGATATTAATCTATTTTATGCTCACAAAGATATAAAAATGTTATTTAAAACTGTAAACATAGAATTACTATACCTCTCCGAATGGTTTAAAGCAAACAAACTATCTCTAAATTTAACCGCTATCATAACAAGACGAAATTCCATTAAAATTTCCTAATCTTTGTATTAACAATTACGAAATAAAAAGAGAAATGTCACTAAAATTTCTTGGCCTACTCCAAGACGAAAATGTAACATGGTCATTGATTATGTAAAATATGTTAAATGCAAAATATCTAGAAGCTTCGACCTATTTTATTGGGCAAAACATTTTTTAAATTCAAGTTGTTTAAGAATATATTTCTTCTTTATTCCAATCTTAATTACGCTACCATTGCTTGATGCACCAATAAAAATAAATTGAAAAAACTCTTTAATAAGCAAAATCTTAAATTTAAATTTTAATATGCAAAAACATGCAGTCAGAGTTATATCCAATTAAAGCCGCTATACACCCTGAAAATCCAATGAAAGCTATACACCCTGCCAATTATTACAAACTATGTCTTTTTTTTCTCTCTTTGTTACAATCTTTATACAAATCTAAGTAAAATAAAAAGTTATTTTACAATAATTAAAATTAATCACAAATAAAGATATCGTTTGAAAATAAAGAAACGGAAAACTCGTAGAAGACCATGATGTCTGTCACCAAGAAACCGCTCAAGTTGACTGAAATGATTTTGCTGGTTTAATATAGAGGTTTAATGCTTTCTCGTTATTTTTATTTTTTTATTTATTTTTTTATTGTCTTTTTTTGTTTTATATCAATCAGTTTTATCAGTAATCTTTCGTTAAACTGGTAGACCTGATACATTTTCTTGGTTTAGAAGGTTCACAAAGTTTACTGTGTTTGTAGCAATCAATCGAATAACTTTCCCTAAAAGTTTTTTTTTTTTTACATTTTCATTGAGAGCTTGGTTATTTATATCTTAGCTATTTAAAATATCATAATCCAGTTTTTGAAAATTATACATTTTAATATTTTATATGATGTTCGATTTTAATAATTCTTTTATAACATTTAGTTCATTTTAGGAAAACCATTATGCGATATATAGCTAAAATTAGAATTGTTCATACTCCAAAACTTGGTGTTTCAATTTTAAACAATTATTTTTGTCTGTACTTTTTGTAACAACTTTAGTAGAATGCACGACTTTTGGAGAGTAAGCTGCTGCTGAATATTCACACATACATACATGTATACATACATACATACATACATACATACATACATACATACATACATACATACATACATACATACATACATACATACATACATACAAACATACATACATACGTTGCGTTATGGAAAAAAATGCTTTTTATACTGTTAAGTCCTTAATCTAATATCTTAGATGTCACCAACCGAGTTTTTAGATTATTTAATGGAAAAAAAATCCAAATTAGATTTCTTAATAGACTTTTTAAAGCGTTAGAAAAATAGGGAAAAAACGAAATAAATATTTATTAAGTCTAAAAAATTACTAGAATTAATATGCCGTGTCCCTCAAGAATCAATTCTTTCACTTTTTTTGTTCTTAATCTACATAAATAACCTTCAAAAAACCGCTAAAAAAACTTGAAGTGTTTTCATAATACAATAATATTTGCAGACGATACAAGTTTAATTCGAAATTCGACTCCTCAACAAACGTCTAATGATCGGTATAAAAATGTATACAAAGAACTTCAAAAAACTAAAAGTGTAATATAAAAAAATTATAAAACATAAAACAAAAACAAAGTACATTTTATTTCATTCAAATCAGCAGAGAAGCGCATTGTTCTCTGCTTATTTGATTGAAATGAAGAAGTTATTCCAATAATTCTATCCTTGCTAAAAATGAAACTATATTTTAGGAATTAATAAAAATTGTAGTTTTACGTAAGAGTGAAATTGTAAAACTAGTTCAATTTATTTATTTATAACATATTATTTATATATGCAAAATAGTTTAAACTTAAGGAAGAGTTGTTAAGAAATAGTAGAGTAGAGCGTACGAGTCCGTTGATGCTGTGTCCGAGTCCGAAAATGCCTGTAATCACAATTTTTATATTAACTATTCCCAAGAGAAAATTACCAGTTTATTCAGTCGGAACTTAATACGTTTTAAGTGTACTATTTGGTTGGCGCAAAAAAATAACTCTCTGAAAGTAAAAAAACAATAAAAATAAAAAGTTTTATTTTTTTATTTTTTTCAAGGCAAGGTTTGTCTCAAACTGATGTTTTAAAACAATTTAAAACTTATACACTTTTTTTTATATAGGAAGCTACCTAATACCGCAAAAAACGTTTGGGTGAGTACACATTTAGCACAGTTGAAATATGGACGTCAAAAACATCTTCTAAAATTAATTTACCACAATACTAAACCAATATTTAAAGCGCTTTTATGATTTTGGATTTATCAAATTAGCATATATAAACATGAGTATGGTGGCCCATCGTTCCTATAAGAAATAAAAATTTCCAAAAATATTCTACGCGGCCCATAGTTACCATTGCTACACGGCTTTACCTGTTTACAAATGCCGCGAAAAAAAAAATATGGCGACTAATATATGAAATGAACCCTTGGCTAAAATACATACGAGTAACGGAAAACTTAGAATGCTACGTGAAACAAACTTTTTGAAGAAAAAATTTTTAAATTTGTAAAAGTTAACTTTCCACAATTTGCATTGAGTAAAAGAATCCTTGATAGGCATCTTCGACATTTAAAAAATGATCCCTTTGAAATTAGAACTACAAGGCCCTGGTGCACCTATTGGATATTGTGCTATGCATCGAAAATTAAGGTAGCTTTACAATTTACGTGCGTCAAGGGTTGTTACTCATGCATCTATGTTCACAGAAGATCAAGTAGCACTTGAAAACAGAAAACCTTGTTTAAAAAAAACTTCAATGTTTTCGAAGTTCAAATAAATTTAGAGATAATATATCAGAAAATCTTTCGACAATATATTTGATAAAAGATTAACTAACTGCATTAATAATACTACTATTTTAGTATTCTGTATTCTCATGTTTTAAGTCAAAAAAATTGAAATCTGAGCCATGATTGTATTACATTTTTGTTTTTTTTGCAGAAGAAATAAAACCAAAATCTTTTGTAAAAATTTCAGATGCTTCTGCAGCCGCTTCAATTTTTCGCCAGAAACTGGCTTACTTATAAAACAAAAATTTTTTTAAAAATATACTGAGCCTATTTCTTGATGACAGTTTACTATTTATTGCTATTTAAAATAATAAATTACAGAACTATTTAAAATAATAAATTACAGAACTAGTCTTTTAATTTATTATTTTAAATAACAACTAGTTATAATTTAGAACATGTTATAAATTTTACTATTGAAATTTATTACATTATTTATTTTAATAATAAAGCTATTAAAATGGAAACTATAATTTTTCATAAACCATTCAGTGTTTATAAAAAGTACAAGTTACAATAAAAAATGTATCTGCTGATTTAGGTGCGAGGTGTGACGTCATACTGAAATAGCCTGCTGCCGGGGACTTCAGTACATACATAGACTGACAAATAGCCTGACTCGCAGTGGAGTGCTGCTACATAGTCTAAGGGTTTTGGGATGGGTCAGCAACCTTTTCATTCATTATACTTCGTTTTCCTTCTTCGTTTTCTAAAAAACCTATATCGATTTAGATGAGCATAAAAAGTAAGCAAGTGCACATCTAAATATGCTAAAGTAGAAATATATAAAACTCATTTAATTTCTAAGAAACATAAAATTACACAATTTCTTTTAATAATAAAAAAATTTCAATTAGAAACTGTAATCTTTCATAAATCACTCACAGTGTTTAAAAAAATACATACATACATACATACATACATACACAAATACATACATACATACATACATACATACATACATACATACATACATACATACATACATACATACATACATACAATACTTACAACTCAGGGTTTTTAAAAAAATTCTAGTTACAATAAAAAATAAAATTCAATTTCTTATAAAAAAAAAAAAAAAAATATTATTTGTAGGATCATAAATTAAAGTTTTCTAAACATTTAATTGATACTTGTAATACTTTTCAGAAATTTATAAAACTCCTTCAACCACCGTTTAATCTAAAACTCCTTCAACCATCGTTTAATCTAAAAAGTTGCAATAACAAAATGATCTATTTATTTAGTTTAATATTAAATTTTAATTTGTGTTATTATAAAAATTGGCTAAAATATTACCTTGTTTGAGGTTGAAGGGCCATTATTGATGCTACCTGTTGGATCATTCATAATATTTTGGTGTAAATAGGCAAAACAGCCATGTGCTTAGTTTCTGTGCTTTTTTTTCTCTAATATACTTGGAAACAATCTTATTTTTTAATTAGTATTTCAGATAAAATGTAGCAATAAACTTGTTTTATGTATATAATTACACAATAAACTTTGGAGAATTACTCTACTCCACACTTTTATCCATACAACTTTTCTACTGCAAGGATCTATACAGTCAAATACTACAAACAGAAAGGTACTATTTTGATAGATAATTCGTTTTTCGGTGACCATTTGGGGAGTGTACCCAATTTGGATTTTCTAATATATAGTTGTTCGTGGCTTTCATCTGCTTGAAGCAAGTTTTCTGTTTTTAAGTACTGCTTGATCTTCTGCAAACATAGCTGCATGAACAGCAGCACTTGGTACACGTAATTTGTAAAACCTTCCTAATTTTTAATGGATAGCATGATATCTACACAGTGCACCAGGCCCTTGTAGTTTTATTTTGACAGCATTTTTAACATCTTCAACAGTTGCAATTTTATCAATGAGATATATTTTAAGAAGATAAGATAACAATATATTTTGTGTTAACAAGATGTTACAACACAAGTCATTGTAAACAGTGATTCACTAATAAAGCGCAATGACCTAAATAAGACAAAGGAAAATAAATAGATAAATAATAATAGCAATATGAAATAAGTTAACCATACAATAAAAATAAGTTAAATATGTAAGTTATAGTTGAATAAGTTAACCACATAATAAAGTAGAATTTCATAAATATCTATTTATCAACACCAATAAAACTTTAATTTAAAACTTTTACTAAAACAGACTTTTTTTAAAAATATAAATAAAATGTAAAGGTAAGTAGGTAAAGAGTAAAGTTAAGCGTAACTTTTTAGGTAGAAACTATGGAGTGACTTTAAGAACAGATTCTTGAACCTAAGGATGGGATCTGATTTTATGATGTTCGGAAGGAAGTTCCAATATACAGTGGTATTATATATCAGTATATATTGTTCCAATATACACTGGTATATAATTATATTCCAGTGTATATTGGAACAATATACACTGGTATATAATTCTTGAAAGATTTTGTTTTACGTAGCAATCCAAGCTTTCCATTACAATTTGTTTTCGTATATTAGTTGTGTATATTAGTCGCCTGAGCCAACAGGTGACGTCATTAAATGTTCAGCTTTTCGCTGTTTATTGTATACAAAATTCACCTAGAGATTTGGCACAAAGTACCCACAATCCTGATTATTTCATCGTTGCTTTGACTTTTAAAATTAATGCATCAAATATTTTTCTATTTGATTCCTTCTAACGATAATTTTTAAACTTTAGCCATTGGGATGCAAATTGAAATTTAAAATACAAGATGTAAATACTTGACAACTTTTAGCAATTAAAATATTATTTTGTAATGTTAAAATTATTTTTTAATGAAGTATCACAAATACATCAATTAAAAAATTTTTTGTCAACAAGTTAAATAAACTAGTCATCAAGTGTATAAATAATAAACCTAATTAACTTTAAATGTCATCGATAAATCGGTTGTCTAACTTTTTATTAGTTTTACGGAGTTGTGTGTGTGTGTGTGTGTGTGTGTGTGTGTGTGTGTGTGTGTGTGTGTGTGTGTGTGTGTGTGTGTGTGTGTGTTATTGGATTTTTATAATCAGCTATTTTATCAATGCAAATATAAATAGTAAAAAGCAACAAATAAAACGACCTAAAATCAACTTCTGCCAAAATTTTTAAATTAGTATATTTTGTTATGAAAATCTCTTGCGCATAGCTGTATAGGTGACCAATTATTCTTAGCATTGAAATTAACTTTATTAAATTAAAATATTAAATTAGTTTTAACTTTATTATTATATTTATAACATTTTAAAAAACAATTTTTTAATGTATAATAAGTTTTTATATTCATTTTATACGTAAAAATTAAAAGCTTAGCAACAAGTAATACATAACAACCCAAAAAAGCCAACGCAAAAAGTTATTTATGTCTTGTAAAAAGGAACTTAGATCTTTCTAAAAGAACAAAAAGCTTTTCTGTAGGAGATTTGTAATGATATTAGACATCATAACTAAGATAAAAGTCTCATAATTTAGATAATTTTTTTTAAAAAAAGAGCGCCTCGGGATATTCTTTTGGAATAATCAAAGAATTATTTTTTATCTTTTTCAAATGTTAAACTAAAACCCAAAGAGCATTCAGGAAAATAACAACTTCAAAGGGCTTTCCGACATAAATGAAATTTAAATATTTAAAAGTATTTTTTTTTTCTTATTCAAATTAATACGAGGTACTAGATAGATAACATCTGTATAATTGTATTTAACTTGAATATGTCTTCTTAGCTTTGATGTTTTTTACGAATTTAGAACAAGATGCGCTTTTTTGTTGACTATGCAAAATAAGCCTTTGATTTTAAAATTTTGAATTTCATAACAAATGCTTGAAATATATAATAAAATATATAAGATTTATGTATTTAATTTTAATACATAATCCAGTAATTTTTGTTGTCGACAAAATTAACTTTCTAAAATGTTGTTTTAAAAACTAAAAATAATTTTTAATATTACGCGCATTATTGACAGTTTTTTGTAAATAAATACAGTTTTCAAATAATAAGTTTGATTAGAAACAGACGTACTTAAAATATAATAGATTTAAGTGATTCATTCAGTTAAAACCTTAATAACAATTACCCTAGCAACCCGCAGTCAGAAAAAACGAAATTTGTTTTAAGTATTTGACGTCAATACAATACGATTGGTCGGAAATTAGTAATTTTAAAAAAATATATTATATAAATAAAAGCAGGGACCAACAAGATTTAAAATATAAAAATTATAAGTAAAATTTTATTTTTTTTATGTTAATAAACAACAAAATAGTAATTATTTGTTCAAATATTATTATAAATTAAATAACGAAAGCTATTAGTAAAGTTTTTTATGTTTAAAAGTTGTATAATTAACAAAATTTATAGTTTGCTTACCCCCGTGTATCTTAGATAAGTTTTAGCATAAGTTTTAATGCTTACACAGCGTTTCTTCTCTTTTCTTCATAAAAAACGAAGACAAACTTCGGGGAGTTGTTTAAGTTAATCAAGTTAGAGTAATGCATTACGAAATTAACTGTGCTGTAAAATATATTGTAAGCAAAATTAAAGAATACTCATCTTTATTAAACGAGGAGCAACTTGAAAAATTTGAAAGTCGTTTAAATCAGTTACTAAAAGAAAAATACGAAAGTCATTGGTATGAAGATAAGCCTATGAAGGGAAGTGCGTTTAGATGTATAAATATAAGCGTAGAAGATAATTCAGTAGATTCAGTATTGAGAAAAGCTGCTGAAGAAGTTAGTTTAAATTCTCAAAATTTGCTTGAAATTTTTAATGATGGTTTAGCTTTATGGGTTGACCCTAATGATGTTTCTTGTCGTCTTGGAAAGGGAGCAATATTTCCTGTCTACAAGAAAATTGCTGAACGAAAGTCAAAACCTCTAAATTCTAACGCCCCTGAATTCAGCTTGAAACAAAGACCAAGATCAACATCACCACCAATTACTTTTAATAACAAAGACTTTTATGTTAAAACAAGATCTTTAACGCCACCTGGTTTTAGTTCAACTGATGTCACGATTGAGAATATCTCGATTCCTACTTCTTCTACTTCTAAAGATACGGACATTCATAAACTATGGGACTCTATTCCAAACAAAACTTACCCTATTGCTGGCAGTAGTTATTCAGGACATTATCTTAATAACTCACAAGTTAAAAATGTTCCTGTTTCGAGTTTGTATTTTAATGGTTCTGATAATATTTCTACAGCACAAAATTCATATATTGATCAATCGCATCAGTCTGTTTCTTACAGGCAAGGAGATTCAAGTTACTTATTTAATCAATACAGCAGTTATTATAATCCGAGTTATTGGAAAAAGAATATTGGCCCATTGTACAATCAACCATTAAATCTACAACAAGATGATCAAACATACCAACGTTACCACTGGTCACGTAACAAAATTCCTGGTAATATGAGCTCAGTTTATTCTACTGCACGTGCTCAAGAAGTATTTTAAAATAAAGTTTTTACAATTAGTTATAGTCTATATTAGACAAATCGCTTTTCAATTACAATTCATAATGTAGTTATATTGGAAAGTAAACCTTTGTAATTGCTGAATACCTTTTTAGAATTTTCTTTCATTAGAATATATATGTGTGTGTGGAATTATAAGCAAATTTGTTGCTTTTATAGCACTCACACAAATATGTTTGTATTTTTTGTGCCTTGAGAAATATTGTAACGTGTATATTTAAAAATTATTCTTGGTGCATTTCTGTAAATAATATATAGTAATAAGATTTTTCCTATTTTATTTTTAGCGGAATTTATTGTGAAATAACAGCTATAGTAATTTTGTTATAAGATGTGAAAAAGAAATGTGTATAATTTTTATTCTATTAAATATAAGAGACAGTTAAGTCTATTTTGTATATTTCACAACAGGAGTAATTTCAGTTGTTATTATAATAGATAAATTTGTATTAAACTGTTTTATTTATTTGGTATTTGGTACAGACATTTTTGTTAACACTAAAGATTAGCATAAGTTAATATTTTTAGCAATTTTAACCGTTAGTTACAATTTTGCTTACAAAGCAACAACTCGACAATATATTTTTGCGATAAGAGGTTATTTGCTTTTTAATTAAAGAGATAGTTTATCATAACTTATATGTTTGTTTGGCTAAATGGATTGTCATAAAGACAACTGATTAATAAATAGTTTAAAATATATTACTAAATTGAATTCTAGTTGATATGTGGCTAAAGTTAATTTTCAATGATAATGTATATAGTATTAATGTGATATGATAAACTTAATCTAGCTATTGTCTCACAGAGGGCTTTTAATTAGACATTCCATGCTACCTTGATGTTTTTTTGTCTTGTTCTTGTCAAGATGTTTTGTTGCTGCCTTTAAATGTTTTTGACTTGAGCTTTTGTTAAATCAAGTGCTGCACAGTGGGGCAAATTGATTAAAAAGCGGCAAAAAAATAGCAAACTTTTAAATAAATATAGATTAAGCACATATTATACATCAAAATAGGGTTTCTTAGGGTCAAGGAATTCAAAATTGAAACTTTTTTTTTTTGGAATTCTCTAAGCACCCGTACAGCGCGCATATACGCGTTAGAGAACTTTAACGACTGTAAAAACTATTTATATTTTAAAACTTAACTTTTTTGAACCAAAATATATTATCATTGAGTTAATGCATACATTAATTTCAAATATGGATCTAACTTATTTTTGAATACTTTAACACCTCTACAACGCCCATATACGCGCGTATATTACACTTACGCGTTAGACAAATTTAACGACTTTAACAACATTTTACATTTCAAAGCTTAACTTTTATGAACCAAAATATATTATCATTAAATTAATGCACACACGAATGCATGATTATGCGCGTCATACGTGCATGTTAGTACGCGGCAGCAAGCGTAAAACTTTTAACTTGCAAAAAATTAGTAAATAATAATATAAATTTGCAACAAATTAGTAAATAATAATAACACTTGTAAATATTATTAAAAACTAAACATGATATATTTTTCACACTTTAAGATATTAACAAGTCCAGTACATCTAAAGGCAATGCCTTCCCTTCATACTCCCTATGCTTTGCAAATGAAATGCTTGATATTTTAGGATCCGATCTAATAAAAAGATAGTGGATCTGATCTCTCATAGTGTTAAGTCTTGAAATTTTTGTTGTGTGCTGCAACCTTGCATTTCGAATTATTTTATTAAGACTTTCTAGAGCTTCTTCAGAATATTGAGCGATAGGCAAATCAAATTGCTTTGAAATAGAACAACTATGTATCAGTATTTTGTGAATACTTGGTGGCATTACATACGAACCATATTTATGAACAATCATTTTAGCAGTATCAATACAGTAAACTTCAAATTTATCAAAGTCAATATGGTACCCAGAAAATATTGCAATAAGGACAATGTGCATTCTATTTATGACTTCTATATCAACCCCTGTTATTTCGGGAGAAATCTCAGAGTTCTCAAATGCTCTTCTCGCAGTATTTCCGTCATTGCTGTTACCAAAACCTAGCTTAGGTTGATTGACAATTAGACTCAACTTTTCTCTGAACATAGATTGAACTAATTGTTTCTTTATCTTTACAGAAAGCTTTTCTTTCATAGTTTTGGCTTGAAATGTTTGGTTTTCCATTTTATAGCCTAAATGCAATATGAACTCGAATGATCTTATCCACCAATGCAAATTTAAAATACCAAGTTAAATGGCTTTCTTATTTTCAGGTTTTATTTCACTAAATCTATATTATTCATCTCTTTAAGTTTAGAGCTGCACACATTAGAAGACTGGGATGATTTTGTATTAGTCAATGAGTTAATTACTTTCCGTCAAACATTGTCATATCTATTATAAAAGTAACCTTCATATTAATGACAAAACCAGCAAAATTTATATCTACTGAGAAAGATTTTAATTCAGTAATTTGAGATTGAAGGTCGCGTGCTTCTTCTTTACACAATTGTGAAGTCTCTTTTTTATACTGAAGGTGAATAGGTCTACAAAAGTGGCAGCTAGAACATTTTTAATTTTTCCAAATTAAACACCTAATTCGTAAACAACTATTACATAAACAACTACTACTTAAATAACTACTAAATAAACAACTACTACATAAACAACTACTACCTTCAACTTTAAGCAGAAGAGGTGCAATAGCTGTGACAAACAGACTACTTTCTTGTTTCATCTCTTCTGTATCATTATGGATATCAAATTTTTGTTTATATATGCTTTGACTTGAGGCTCCATCAAACCCTATTTTTGCATACAAAATTCCGTTTAATTCTTTTTTTAAACATTCACTAAAATCAATCATATCAATTATTCTGGTAATAGTATGATTCAACATGCTTTGTAAAGATCATTTTGCTGAGGTGTCAGTAAATTGAATACCTTCAGGATAACATTTTAGCTTTTCTTCTCCAAGCAGTTTGAGACTAGAATATTTTTTCACATTATGAAAAAGAGCTGAGTTCCTCAACATCTAGTATTGTAAATCACTTAAATTTGTTTGGGTTTTTAGAGCAAGTGCTTCTTCTAATTTCGTTGTTGTGGGAATCAAAGAATCGATACTTATTCTCATTTGAGCTACATCAATACATTTAGAAGTTCTTTTCAAAATGTAAGATAATTCTTTTTCGTCAGCTACTTTTGCACTTTTTGAAGCAGCAAGAGACAGAGCTATATGGTGTTCATTAGATAGATCTGCAATCTTTCCTCGCTTGCTTCTGTGACCAAGATCTTCCCAATCTTTAACTGATCTTCCTTGTCTTGAATGATAAGACACAATATCGTAATCAAAGAGATTTTCCTCCAACCAATTTACTTCAAAATCTCTCGTAGTTTTTGCAGTATTTTTTAAGCTTAATTTTCACTTTAGAAATAAAAATCTTGAATAACCTATTTAGTTTATCTAATTTATCTTCAGGAATTAATGCAAAAGTTTTAATAAATTCAATAAGGATTTCATTAATATTTTTTTACATATTTTTACATATTTTTCGGACGTCTTTTTTTTAAAAAAAAAAGATGGGCGGACGTTGAAGTTAACAAAACTATGCCTTACTCAGTTTGAAATATCTTTTTAAGGAGCAAGAAAGAGCAAAATGTGCTATAGAATTATTTAGAATATAGATTAATAGTTCATTTAAACCATAATTGAACGTGGAACAACGTGGAACTTTTAATTGGCTAGTACTTATGTTTATAGTTGTGCATTTAAAATAACATTTAAAAATAATAAATCACGAAAAAGCAATAGTTTTTTAAATTAAAACTAAATCAAAATACCTTTTTATTTACAAAGGAAAAAGTGAACATAACATTTATTAGAGATTCAAAAATACACTTGAAGTAAATTTAAAATAATAGTAAAAATACGTTACATTTTCAAAATTTTATGGTCATAATTTATTTTTTTTTCCACCTATCTTATGTTAAAATTACATTTTGATATTTTTTGTGGAATTATTTTTTTATTGTTTTCTTACCAAAAAGGAGTTTATCATTTTAAATCTAAAAATGATAAAATTTGAAAAAAACTTGAGTGACTTTTTGTCGTTTTTTGCTTAATCCGCCTCACTGTGTGCTGGCCTCATAGGCGAGGATTTTTTATCCAGAACGCTATACTACTTCACCACTACCGCAGTAGTTAAAGGAATAGTATAAATACTTGACTGTTGTGATTTCAAACTAATGCAAAATCAGCATGGTTCTAAAAAAGTCACTGGAAACAAAATAACAAAAGCTCGAAGCAAAGAGAGTCTTAAAATTCAGACCACTACCGCATTGTAGACACTTTTTGAGGGCATTAAAACTTTAGTCACAGTATCTACACTGCAGGTTCAAACCGCGTACCTGATTGGGGTTTATTCGCCATTTTAGTGATATTAAAATATGGGTAAAAAATGTTGCATTTATGGCTGCACTACAAATTGTTTATCTGCAAAAAAATAAATCTAATAAGTATATCAATTTTATAAAAATGAAGAAGAAAAACAAATGTAGATTAAAGTAATTTCAAAGTTTGAAATTATTTCGAACCAAATACAAACTTAAAAGTAACTAATGACACTTTAGTTTGTGAGTTGCATTGGCCGATAAATTTTGAAAAACAAATGAAGGAAAATATTGTCCTAAATTTCCACAATCTGTTTGGCCTGGCCCGTCTTGTCAAAGTCCATCTTCCTCCATTACGTGCAACAACTCGTGCGTCGTGTTTTTGAAATTTTGCTCAAGATGAACTACCAACTTTTTTAGAAAAAAATAGTGACTTTTGCTAAAACGAAAAAAATTCTTTTAAATAATGATTTAGGTGTTCCATTAGACTAATATAAATCATAAAGCAATGATAAGTACGCTTTATGACATTGGTTTGTGTCATACCTTTTTGGATTTGTTAAAACCATACCATTCAGGGAATGTTAGTGTGAAGAATCATAAAACTACTCTTTAAAAAATATTTGGATTTAAACAGGGGTCAAAACGGGTCCCGGTTTTTCGCGCCCCTCTGGTTGATATCAAGACCCGACCGCAGGAGGTAAATAACTGTTTTATATTGTGTTATATAATATAACTACCCAGCCGGCACAACGCGTATCAAATAAAACCGTAAGTTTCTTACACGTGTTAAAAACTTTATAAATAACACAAGCTTAATTTTATAAATTTCACAGGTTCTAAACTCGTGTTAAAAACACTATGACTTTTACCTAATTAAAATATAACAATAAAAGAGAAGTAGATTATAATAATATACAGTAACAACATTATAAATAATATAGAATTATAAGCATCAGTAATAGTAATAGGTAATAATAATAAAAACTCCAGTTATTGGTAATAATAATCAAAATAATAATAAAAACTAACGATAAAAATAACAATTATATTATTAATAATAGCAATAATAACAATAAAAA